TTGGGTTTAATGTGGTTGGTTTTGGTTTGTGGGTTTGCAGATTTCTTCAACAGTAGATGGGGTGCTATATTGTTTTCTCAAGTGTTCAATGTGTTGGGTAATACGCTTTTGGCTATTTGGAATATTCCAGAAGGTGCTAAATGGTTTGCTTTTTGTTTGCAGTACTTTGGTTGGGCAATGGCTCCAGTTTTATATTCTTGGCAGGGTGACATTTGTCGTAAAGATATCAGAGAGAGACAAGTCGTCTTAGTGTCAATGAATATGTTGGCACAACAATCAACTGCTTGGATTGCTGTCCTTGTCTGGAAAACAGTAGAGGCACCACGATTCTTGAAAGGTTACACATTTACGGCTTGCTCTGGTGTTGCATTATGTATTTGGACCTTTGTTGTGTTGTGGTTCTATAAGCGCCAGGAGCGAACTAATGCTAGGGAAAATGGTATTGTGCTTTACAACTCCGACAAGCAAGATTTGGAAGTGATCTCCAAGACTGAAAGCGAATAGCTCTAGTTAATATTCTCTCTAGAGATAGATTTTATTAGTAATACAATATGTGCATTATTAATTGTTTTATTCACAGTTAGCAATTTTAAGAAACATCCACTACCAAATTACTCTGTGTATTTAAAACTTTGCTAGCAGAGATACTCTTCTGTCAGTCTGACTTTATAAACCCCTTTCGCAACCAAAAAAAAACAAAATTTCAAATTTCATTGCAAACTCCTCATTTTCACGATGACCCCTGAAACAGTATCTAAACCTTCCATATTTAACTCAATTGAATCGTTATCAATATCGCCATACCCAGCACTTGTGTTTGGGAATATTCTTATACTTAAAGGGGCCCTACAGTCTTCAGCATCATTGGCGGTCAATGGGAGTACAGGGTCAACACTCATAAAATCCCAAAAGCTACAGCCTACCAGAATCTCATGTTTTGGGTTTGGCGCAACTCAATTGATAGGAGCATGGTTAATGTATGATGGTGAACCTGTAAATGCTGCTGGTTTTAACTTTGCATGGCTGTCCTTGTATTTGATAGTTAATGGGAGATCAAGCTTTAAGAGTATATTTAGGGGGAGAGTAAGTCCATTAGGTTTAAGTATACTTGCCTTGGGAAATTCGGTTATCTACGGTGGTGAATTTTTTTGGCCCCGCCAAGACTCACAACAGCCAATTTAAATGTAAATCGCAAAAAGCCAGCCTTTTGACATAGTTCGAACTATATATTAACTTTCTAGTCATTATCCCTATCTATCAATCCCATGGCAATGGCAATATATTTCGTTCATTGCAGTACGTCGTTATTTCTCTATCATCGTATAATTCAATAAATTGTTGGTCCATGGGTCTTTCCTTTGGAGCAGAGAATTTTCTATATTCGTCAAATATGATAGTCAATGACCATTTTTGTAGCCTTCGTATAATTCCCACTAGGCACCCAGTTCGATGCTTGCCTCGGTTGCAGTGAATCAAAATTGGATGGTTCTCTGGGTTCAATACAATTTTAACTGCTTCCGTAATCAAGTCGGATGATATCTTTACAAACGGTTCTTTATTTCCTGACATTCCTAATTGGAAGAGTTTTATCTTCTCATGATTTAGAAAATCTGATTGTAGTTCGGGATAATCTTCTGGAATTAGACACAATATTGATTTCAAATTCAATGTTTTCAAGAACGAAAAGTTATTGGGTTGAGGAAATGATGACCGATATATTCTGTTTATTACTGGAGCAAAATTCTCCGGAGGAGTCAAGGGTAACTGTACTTTTATGCTTTGTTCATACTCCAACTGCAATCTTTTCTGTAACTTTAGATCCAATTTATCATCTAAATCTTCGTCATATTTCACGTCGTCGTCTTGCTGACTTTCATCTTCAGTGGTAGTATTGGGTGCTCCATCTTCAAACTTCAATTGTTCTATCCGTGATCGTATAAGCTTATCATCGTCATATACCTGTTGCTGGTTTAGTATGTCCGAATAATCAGGTGATATCTCTGAAGGAATTAGCTCCAGATTCAAATTAAATGGAAATTGAACTGTTTTAGGGGATAGCCCCGATTCAGAATATTGAGGTAATTCCTCGTCCATTTGAAATGGATCTTCGTTAAACTCGGCCATTTGAAAACTTATCTTAAGACCCCTATTAAAATAGAATTCAAAATCAAAACTTCCTTAATGTAGATATACAAGAATAAAAACCCTGAAAACGCTAATAGATCCTTTCTTGTATTGACCCACTAAACTCTGTTACCGTGATTCCATAATGATAGTTGAAATAGAATAGAGTGTCCTATGGATATGAGAAAGGGAAAAAGTCGAGGTGTGCACCAACCGATAATTTGTTAACAAAAACTGAAAAATATTTCCGAAGGAGAGATGAGTTCACATAAGTATCACACAAGCCAACAATGACAGCACAGACGAAGAGAAAGCGTAGTCATGGAAGCGAGAAGCGCTCCACTTCCTCTAAAGAATATAAGAAACCAAAGAATAAACATGGAAGATCTGAATTAAGAACCGTGACAAGAACAGCCGCAAGGAAAGGTTTGGTCGATGAGGAAGATATGAAGTTATCAAAAGAAGGACTTTCGGACGAAGGCATTCAAGAGGAGGACAGTCGTCCCATTAAAGATGATGGTGAGGGTAATGACGATGTGGCGTATAAAGCTCTTTTGACCTTATTGAAGTCAGATCACAAGGAGAATAAAGGTAAGAAATCTAAGGATGCTTCTGAACAACTAGACCAAGGTTCAGAAGAGGAAGATGATATAGCAGGTATTAACATAGACGAAGATAAAGAAGACGAAGAAGGAAATGAAATGGGATTCTCCAGTGATGATGAAGATGTCGTTAAAAGTTTATCGGACGACCCCTATGAAGTCCATTTCAATCAGCCTTCTGACGAATATATGACTCAGCAGGAGAAATTAGTAATCCAAGAAAATGGCAAATGGATGACTTCAAAGAGAAGCATACCTGATAATTTATTACTTCTGGCACTAGCATCTATACCTCCCGGAAGTCCTATTGATCCACCATTATTGGATAAGCAACATTTGCTAGAATATTCATTAAAAAAGAGAGTGTTGGATGCTTATGAATCGGAATTCTCTAACGAGTTGACCGCATTGGAGTCGACTATAATTAATCCTATAATGAACTACCAAGATGTAATCTATCAATACAAGAATTTTAAGAATAGTAGCTACCGCAAATTATACCTGTTACATGCATTAAATCACATTTATAAAACTAGAGATCGCATTATAAAGAACACTTCCAAATTGCATAGCTTCAGGGAATCTAATGAATCTACTGACGAGCCTGAGTTCAGAGATCAGGGTTTCACTAGGCCAAAAGTCTTGATTTTATTACCAACAAGAAATGCATGTTATGAAATTGTAGAATTGCTAATTAAGCTATCTGGAACTGAGCAACAAGAAAATAAGAAGAAGTTTATGTCACAATTTTTTGCAAAAGCTGAACCTCCTTCCTATAAACCAGATGATTTCATTGATTCTTTCAAGGGAAACAATAGCGACTTCTTTTGTATTGGTTTGAAATTTACCAGAAAAACATTAAAGTTGTATTCGTCATTCTATGCATCAGATATCATAATTGCATCCCCGATAGGATTATCCATGATTTTGGAAAACCCAGATAAATCGAAAAGGCAATACGATTTCTTGTCATCAATTGAAGTCTTGATAGTAGATAAATCAAATCAAATCGAAATGCAAAATTGGGATCATGTGAATACAGTTATGAAATACTTGAATAAAATCCCAAAAGAATTCCATGATGCCGATTTCAGTAGAATTAGAATGTGGTCCATTAATGATCAAGCGAAGTTGTTGCGTCAAACACTCGTTTTTTGTGAATATTTAACTCCAAATATAAATCATTTATTCACCAAGTCACTCAACTTGTCTGGAAAAGTTAAGTTTAGACCAATTATAACTCAGGAGACAAGTATCATGAATTCCATTGGGCTCAAGATTAAACAGATTTTTCAAAGATTTGATAGTCCTTCTCCATCGCAAGATCCAGATTCCCGATTTAAATTCTTTATTAATACGATATTGCCATCTTTGATGAAATCCAGTTCTTACGAAGATGGAATTATGATTTTCATTCCATCATATTTTGACTACTTAAGAATTAAGACGTATTTGAAACAGTCTACAAAGTTCAATTTTGGTTCTATTGATGAGTATACTTCTCAATCAAAACTTACTAGGATTCGACATGAATTCGTTAACTCTAAGATTAAACTATTGCTATACACCGAAAGATTACATTATTTTAGGAGATTCGAAATTGGAGGCGTCAAGACATTAATCATGTATGGCGTTCCATCTAATCCAATTTTTTATAAAGAGTTGGTTCAATTTATTGGGAAATGTATTTATAAGCAACAATGCGATTTGGATTTAGCATTAGTCAAAATCATGTATTCAAAATGGGATGCTGTAAGTTTGGAAAGAATCGTGGGAAACGAAAGAACCCCAATCTTGTGCAATTCTGTCAATGAATTGTATGAATTTAGATAGACTTCTTCTTATTTAATATATGTTGCATTATGCACTTAATGTATTAAAAGCCATTATAAAACACCCAGTAGCAACATAAGGGCTTAATCTCTCTCCGATTCTAGCAAATTTCCAAAATACACTCAATATACCTGATTTTCTGTTATCAAGAATTGCTGGCGTAATTGAATGAATGTACGTACACGTACATATTAACAATAGTATCACTTGCAATAAAGATTGGAAGTTAAACAAGGCAGACTATTCTGTTAGTATAATCCAAAATACTAGGGGACTAGAAAGGAAAGAAACATACCATGGTTGATGAAACGATGATGTGGGCTCCAATAGGAATAAATTAGTTGGTGGTTTTTTTTTTCGAAAGATTTGGAAAGCTACTTTGGTAACAGTCTGTCGCGACAGTAGTCGCGACGCACCGTTTGCTTCAAAGGCAAACCTACACCACTTTTGACTTGGTCTACAGAATTCTTTGTTTCTCTTAATTCCATAACGATACAAAGAACATTAATTTACACAGTTTTTTTCATTTATAAAACTATTAATTCAATTAGAAAACTCTACATATTTGGTCTTTATGCCTTCTTCTTACATAACATACTATTCAACTTATCAGGCACATCATATTTACCAGCAATCACTTCGTAGAACCGTAACTTGCTTCTGTCGTCTCCCCTCTTAATACCACTGAAAAAATCTTCAAACTCAGCTACATCCTTCAATACTCTTGCTTCATGTCTTTCGGTGTCACCAAAGACCTTAAATAAGTCTACCCATTTCCAATTACCATTGATGTCGTTGTAGCTTCTAGTTGGTCCCCTTATAGCCCTTTCAACTGTATAGCCGTCATTGTTAATCAAGTAAATCTCAGGCATGTTATTCAAAATGTCCTTATATCTGATAAAACTAGACAATTCTTGGACTGTCATCTGGGCTGCACCATCTCCTTGTACCAAGATAATACGGCGGTCAGACCCAATATCATTAAGGGCCATGGTAGCACCAAAGGTTGCTGGGACTGCATAGCCAATGGAACCGTAGAAATGTGCCAGTAAATATTGAAGGTTTGGTGGGAATTTGATATCTGGCATACCAAAAGCAAATGACATAGTTTCGACAATTAATAGATCATTTGGTCTAAGATAGTTGTTAAAATGGTCAATTAATTTAGTTTGAGGAACGTAACGCGCGTCTTCTACTGAAGGTGAATGAAACGTGCTTGGGAAATAGTTGTACATTGGAACTTTTGGAATCCGAGAAAACCTGGAGATATCCAACCGTGAGGCAAGCTCCTCAATTAAATCACCAATAGTGAATAATCTCCCACCGTCCTTTTGTTTAATGTGAAAGAACTGATGATTCATCTTCACGTAGTCTGGATGAATTTCAATATAATGATTAATCTTGGAGAAATCGCGTGAATATGCCCCGGTGTTCACTTCAGTGTTGTAATACCCCAATGTAAGTAAGACATCCGTGTTGTTTTCCAATTCTTCTAAAACGTTCTGATTGGTGGATGCTTTTCCATTATACACTCCAACATAATTTGGTAACGATTCATCAACATTTCTAGCCATATGAGTAGTGAATAATTTGAATACGTGGGCTGGGAATTTCTTGATCAATTTGTCTAATTCTTTTTGATAACCAAATCGACTACTCAAGCAATCCGACAAGATGGAAGGAGATTTGGACGTGTATAGCTTATTAAGGATTTCATCAGTTAGATCTTCCAAAACCTCCATTGACTTTTCAGTATGCTTGTATTTCGGAGAAGAATCAAAAGGGTTCATATACAACTTGTGTGCAGGTATCAATTCATTGACAATGTCGCAAGGAATAAACAAATAGCCTGGTCTCGAATCCTGAATAATTGCATTCAAAACATGATCAATCTTAGTAATATTACTGTCCATGTCTTCGTCTAAGGATTCTTGAGCCACAGATATATCCTTTGCCATTCTCTTGTACACATCATGGTTTGGTGAATGCAAGTGATCCTTAGAGGGTACTAAATGGTGGTAATTCAAGACTTCATGATCATCTTTGGACTGTGATTGTTGTTTTAAAGTTGTTGTCCCAACAATGTGTAAGACAGGAATGTGCTCAGCAAACGCACCAGCAATACCATTAATTGCGGACAACTCACCTACACCGAAAGTTGTAATCAAAACACTCATTCCACCAATTGCTCTAGCATAACCATCAACACAATAAGCTCCGTTTAATTCATTGCATAAGCCAACAAACTTGACCTCCTTTTCGCTAACTACTGGCGAATAAAGATGTTCCAATAAGTCAACATTAAAATCCCCTGGTATACCAAAAATAGATCTCAATTTAGGATTTGCTTGTGTGATACGCAAAAACAAATATTCACCCAAATGTAATTCATTTGGTATTGCAATGGGTGTTGGTGAAGGGGTATTTGAAGGGGTGTTAATATCGTCAATTATCTCAATAACTGGTGTCATATTCTATTCTAGTTATAAGTTAAAGTTTGTAATTATAGGAAAAGAAGTATGGAAGAATCTGGCGTTAAAAGTTGAAGTAGAATTGAATCTATTTATATGGTTTGCGATAAGACAAAATTAAGAATAATTAGGGGTATTTGCTTCCGTTTCTAATTATATCTCCAGGCCTGCTCACGATCTACCTAGTATTTTGCAGCTTAATTTTTTTTGGGCCTCACCATTATTAATGCAAATATGGGGTCATGGTTGCTCGGTTCGGTTATCAACGGATATCTTCGCACAAGCTTTTTTTTTTTGAATTTTCCTATTTTACGTGACTATCCTATCAATTGCTCCTCCAAACTGTAATTGTATCGCATATATATCATGAAAATCGCTGGGTCATCTGGTCATACAAGATGGACGTTGTTCGCTCTCCTCTCCCCGTTGTGTTCTCCACTAATAGTGGTATTATAGGACAAATTCACAATTGAACGAGTGTTAGCAAGTACTTGCCACATTTCAAGGTTCTGTTGGTTTGAAATAAAGAAAATCGACTCACACCAAGCCATGGCTCTTTGCCTTCTGTCGTATCCGAAAACAATGTGTAAGAAAAACGTTCTGGGATCTCCAGGGGTTAGCTTATCTTCCACCCCCCGTTACTGGATTAACGTTTTCGGTTACTGGAGGAAAATATAATAAATACTTGTTTCAAATCTTTGTTTTAGAAAATATACTTATACGGTTTTTGAATACCTTCCTCAATTACCGTTTGTTACCGTAAATAAACCTCCGAAGTGACAATTATTCTAAGAAGGGTGAGGCACAGCTGCCCAGATTGTTTCTTCGTTAGGCATTTACAAGGAAATTTTAGATAGCGGAGTGTCCACTAAGTTTCCCCAACAAATTTATTGCCGCTTCTACCCTCTACCCAATTCCGTAGTGCTTGAGATCCTGGTACAGTGTGCTGACTTTTAGGATGATAGAATTTGAATTGAATTACCTTAACGTTTAGAATTGGGATCCTTGGTTTGATGCCAAGGGGGGCTATAAATCAACTACAAGTGATTTGATTGTTTCTGTCTCTGTATATACCATAAGCTTTAGGCTCCTCTCTCTAATCAAACTCGTGAGGGCTCATGATTTTCTTTTACGGTTCTTTTGTTTTTTTTGTCAGTTATTTATAGATATTCCACGGCTATGAATTGTCCAGTCGGTTGTAACATCCCATGCATTTGTACAGCTTCTGTTCCAATTTGTCATTAAATAATTATTCGAACTTCTCAACTTCTAGGAAGTACTTAATGGACTACTTGACAATCTAATGTTCATAAAATTGGGTGGGTGGGATTATAAGAGAAACTAAAATGTCACAGCCAAACGGATTTCGGTAGTTCGCAGAAACAAGCAACCATGTTTTATCCAAAGAAACTTGGTAGCTTACCTGGATAAACTACTTGCGGTGCCACAGCAGCCAAGAGCTATCTGTAAATGGTGTTTAAGTGACAATCCCATAGTGTAGCTAGTAAGAAATTTGTCCAGATCTTCTCGTATGTTTAAGACAGCCAAGCTAAGAGTTCCTGTTTCATTTGATACTAATGGCAGGAAGGTGAAACGGTTCAGCACCTTCGTCAACTTTGTCAATATGAACTTCTCTTTAGATGGTCAGTCAACAAGAATATTATACTTGTTTGCTATTCTTCATGCTGACGGAAAAGAAGTTTCTCTGATAGGTAAAGTCGTGTTTCTATTCATGGTTATAATCAGATAAGTACTTCCCGGTATTGCTCTGTTTGCATTTAGTGGATTTGAATCAGTCGCAATGTGTTAGTAGACTTTTTCTCCTCTACAGCTTGGGTTTTCTATCATTAACAATTCTATTTTATTGCTTCCCCTTGCCTAAAGTCATTTCAGGCACTATTGCAGCACTTGAAAATTTGCAACAATTTTGCGGAAAGTTCGAGATTTATAAATAAAGTTCTTCTACCAAAGAAGGAATAAGGTTCTTATGCAATGATATATACTATATACTCCTAAATAAAACCATGCCTAAGCCATCAATTGATTATAAAAATCAATTCTCTTATCTTGATCCAAAGCCTTGATGGCTTCTGCCCTAATGTTATCAATCCTAGCAGGATGGCGACAACCAACAATGGAAATACTGTTTTCAGCCTCGTCTATTTCTTGCCTAACTACTGCAGACCAGTCCGGCCTTCCTTCTACGAACTGGGCATGATTTAGTTGGAACTCAATTCTCTCCTTAACTGCTTGAATTGATTCCTCCTCATAGCTGTCTTCGAGAGTTTTCTTCAAAGAAATACAACTTCCACAGTATTGGGTATAAGGAGAAACACCGTCGATTAACCCTTCTGTATGTTCGTCATTGCCTGGCCCAGTTACGCAAATTGTCACTTCAATATTCTCTGACTTCATTTGTTTCAATTCGTCAAACAATCAATACAATGAGCTATTCCTTTATTATCCAAATTAATTTCAACAATTTACAGGATTTATCTTTTCTAGCGGCATTCATTCCTCATACATTCCTGGAATACCGATTCCTCCTGCTATGTAGATTCCTCTATCTGCATTATCTGGATACGGTTCTTCATATTGACCCTCAACAGAAGCTTGAATCATATCACTGTTCCCCGGGTATTTCTTCAAATGTTGATATAAGTCATGAGTCATTCCTCCTTTGACTTTGCAACATAAGACAATATAGTCATTAATGTAATCGGAACTAAATGTAAATGGATGTGATTACCAGAACCAACATGGTTTTAAAAAGTGATTAAGACGTGACACCAGGAACGGGGTTCCATGCCTGGTGGTTGGGGTTCATAACCTTTAATGATTCATCGAACATCAAGGTGACAATAGCGTCTGGGCAACCAGAACAAGCTAAACGGCAATCCCTAATTAATCTGTCAATAATCCAAGTACCAATGGCTGCCCACATGTACCAAGATCGACGACATGTCCCCAAGCTCCTACCATAGAAAAGATACCTAACACCATGTGAATTGCTAAAAACAACTCATATCTTCTTCTTCAAAAGTAAAGCATTCCCTGAACCCAAATTATTGCTGCAACTGATGTAGCGAATGTCCCCCAGATCATAAAATTAGCTCGCATCACATTTCGATAATCTTTATTTAATGCAATACAGAGACAAGTTGCATGCATTACTACAAACAAAACTAACATTCTGCATATATACCTGTGGAAGCACATGAAGGCCGACTAATTTAATCGAGTGATCCATCGAAGAATACTATTTCTCCCAGCAAACAACCCCCGCCATTAGGAGCATCATAGTGTCGATGATACCAGTCCTGTTGGACACATAATCTGGAATCATATGTAGAATATATCATAGTTTCTCCTTGGCTATAGTGTAAATCAATAGTTAATATGATAAGGACAACAACTACAAATCCTGAAAGTATTAATGCTTCCAAACTCGACGGCAAATAGATCTCAACGAAGTGTAATAACTTATAGCTTTGCATCCTTTTATACCCAATTAATTCCGGCAGGCAAACATAGTTTCTCCAAAATTTGGAAACCGGACCATTAAAAGAAGTCAGTGCTGCGAATGGATACAGACACTAGCTGCAAATAGTTGCAAGAAGTAGAATATATCCTAAAATGGCAATACCATACGATAGCGTATCCTCGTAGTTTTTTAAGAATTGATTCATCGAATGTTGTAAATCCTAAGTGCGGGTGCTGTACTTGGACGAAGTTTCATTTGGCGGATTTGAAAAGCATGTTTGAATAGAAGAGGGATTATTTTTTTCGAATTCAATGATGATCTCTTGTGTATCATAGTTGTAGTTCCATGGATCTTACAGTACTGAACAAAGAATTAAAGACCATCTGACCTTTTCTTTTGGTGATGTGCATGTCAGCCTATAACTGTCGTTGTGGTATCATAATTCGTGCAAGTACACCCAAATCTGCCTTCCACGCAATTCCAGATCATTTCGTGAGACTTCATCTTGCTTGCAAAGATTGATCTTGCATCAGCAAGACTGGAGTATGCTGGTGCTTGCGCAACAGCAGACCGACAAACAATTGTCATAGAAATGAAGAAGGTAGCGATAAACTTCCTTAATATTTCTCTGCAGCCAGTAAAAGATGACACTAGAGATATTTATATCAGTCTCCCAATTGACGGAGAGTCAACATCATACTCTTTACTTTGGCAAAGTTAAACGATTGATATGAATAGATTTGCAAAAATTTATTCATTTGGAGTAAACAAGATAATTGGAGACCGCGTAATGGTGGGGGGG